TAATTCAAGAAACAAACGGCTAGTTTTCAAGATTTGAGCAAGATTAGAAGATGGAAGGTTGAAGAATTTTTTCCTTTGCTTGCTAGAGAGGTTCGGCCAAGACAAGGCTGAAATGAAGATGATTTAGTCAATTTTTTGGTCTTTTATTAAAGTTAAAGAAAGTTAGGCAAAGTTAGGCAAGTTTAGTCCAACAACAATTTGACACTTGGCGCATTATTTTTGCTAGAGCTATCTTCTTGTCCCTCATGGCTAAACCATCTAGGCAACCTCCAATTATCTCCTAATACCTAGTAGCAAAAACCCTTTACGTAAAATTTAACCTAATCGGCCGAATTTCTCTCATTAAATGCACTAGCGGGTCCCACGTCCAAATACGTTCCAAATTTCTCATGAACTACCTTATACTAGAAAAATGATTTAAAAACTATATTTACTGATAAAATGTTGATAAAAGTAATATAATAAAGAAAATAAAAGAAAACGGTGCACAGGAATAAAAATAATAAATAAATAATTTTTTTCTGGGTTCTCACAGCTTTTCTGCATTTTCTTTATTAGAAAAATTTTCTAGATAGATTTTATGAGTAAATATAGTTTTTAGATGATTTTTCTAGTATCGGTTAGTTTTTGAAAAATTAAGAGCGTATATCGGACGGACCCGCTAGTGCGGAAAATTCTGTAAAATTCGGCCAGTTAGGTTAAGTGTTGGATACCGGATATATTTTACCAGGTGTGAAGAGATAATTAGAGGTTCCTAAGTGGATTGGTGTGAGAGGAACAAAGGATAATCATGTATTAATTGAAGTGACAAGTGTCACTTGGTGACTAGCCCTTGGACTTTGACCACACTATTCACTACTTTACCAATTTAATTAAAAATTACCCAAAAATTATCCTTATTTGTAAGCTTCATGCCGGCCCTCTCTAGGAAGAAAAAGAAAGAAAAGCTCTCCAATCTTGCTCAATCCAACAAACCAACCTATTAATCTTGAATTTTGTCCATAAAATCCTTAGTTTAGTGATTGTGAGGTGATTAGTGAAGTGCGTTTGGAAGACTAATGTGCTAAGTTGTCCCTTTTCTTTGGTTGATAAGTGAGTAGCTAAGGAACTCTCTTTTCTATCTAATGATGTTTAAATTAGTGGCTTGTGTAGTCTAAGAGGTGATTTTGTGGGTTTTTTCATGATTTTGTTTGAGATTGGTGAATTTTTCTATTTATTCATGATTTTTATATTTTTATATGTTTGATATTGTGTGGCCATAGATGATGGTTGGGAATGGTTTATAATGAAGCTATAGTGCGTAAATTGTGGCTATTTGCGGAAAATTTCCGCTTTGAAAGGAAATTTCGGAATTAGGGTTTCAATTAATCCCATTCTGCCCGGTACTGTTTCCCTTAGTTAGAGGCCGAATTAGCCTTGAATTAAAACGTGAAAGTTGTAGAGAATGATATTTTATAGTTGCCTACAAAAATTCAGCCCAATTGGAGCAATGTAACCTATGAAAAGACTGAAATACCCCTGCTGCCCTGTTTCTGTCCGAAATTGATAATCCGTTTCTGTAATTGGTTAGTTTGACCGGGAATACTACTGATTTGGTTGTTGATGTCTTCTTAAGAAATATAACCTGGTATCTTAGCTTTCGGATGGCTTTGGAATCACTTGAATTGGACTTTGGTAGCCTGAATTATGGTTATTTAACCAGGATGCAGTTCACTAATCTGTTTATGCGGTTCTGGTTTGTTACATTGGAATTTTGACCTAGTTGCACTACAAACTGGATTGAGTGGCCTTCTTCAACATTGTAGCCCTTTCTCTTAGCTTCAAAACGGTGTGTATTGTACATGCATTCGATAATCGTAGTGCCGGTTGTGTCCAATACGCTAAATGACGTCAAAACTGTTTTTGGGTTTTAGGGCTTAACTTTCATTTCCGGACTTTCCCTAGCTTACTTTAGTACTTATACGTTCTAATGGAGTCTTATTTTTGGTAGTTTGTGGAATTGGTTTATGACTTGTAATCGAGTCTTATTGTGCTTGTTTGAATATTTTAGGGCGTGACGGTGATTCAAGACACTCTTTGGGCGGAAGTTTATGAAATTTCATTTGCTTGTTTGGTGAGTGTACTACTCACTTGCTTGTTACTATGTGGCTTTGTTACATTTGAATTTGATGCCTTGAATGCTTATTTGCACCAATGAAACTGATTAAAGTGAGGGTGTACTTGATCACTCTCACCCTTTCGTCTTATATATGACTGTTTATTGTGGTACTTGAATGGTACATGAAATACTGGATTTGGTGTCATTTGGATGAGTATCCAACAGCCATTACTGTTACTACTGATTTCAACCCCATTGGTAGTCGATTGAATCGAGCCAGCGAGGGCTTGGTCGTGAAAATTGACGAGCTATGGGACTGTTATATGGAATCTTGTAGTATGAGACTCTCGATTCCGATATACTCGAGTATTACCACCTTTGTACTGTTTGGAGTTCAGGCCCGGTAGGGGTATGTCGGGTGGAAGGAATGGAAGTAAAGTGGAGCCTACGGTTGGTTACTCTTTAAACATTGATGGAGGGTCAATGTGGTCCGATCAAGTATACAAGTGAGGAAAGGGGCTCTTGAGAGCCGTCCGTATCCTTTTACCAAATCTATTGATGTGTGCTCTTGGCTTACTTTCTATTAGATGAATTGGAATGAAAAGCTTTATGCTTATAAGCTCACTCTATTCCTTTTGTTTTCCTTACAGGAATTTGAATACTTTTGGAATGGCTTTGATAGTTGGAAGCCGAGTTGAGCTAGTTGTGAATACATTTTGTATAGCTCCTCAATGAATGAAACCCTAGATGTATTTTGATCCGTTCCCTCTTTTGAATTGTAAGATTGAACCCGTACATGTGTAAATGAGCTTGGTAACTTTGGTATGCTATTTTGGCTTGTACATGCTAAATTTCAAGGTGTATATGTTTGATTGATGTTTGGGTGGATTTTGGACAGATTCGGATTTCAAATTGCAAAAGAAAAAGTTTTGGCAGGAAACGGCAGGGCCAAATCCGGCCAGAACTTGGCCGGATTGCCCTGGATTTTTGAGCATCGGCAGATGCTCTCTGGTCAATATCCGGCCAGGAATCCGGCCAGAATCCGACCGAATTCTGCCATGTCTAGCACTATTCATGCCGGTTCCGATTTTCGTTTTTTTTATTTCGAGATTTTGGTTTGTTTAAGCGCTTATATATTTTGAATCATTTTAGACCGCATTAAACTGTCTCGTTAGTCCTGGCGAGAGTTGGGCAGGCAGTCCGCTAACCCCTTTGGTTCGCCTTAGGGGAAGGTGGGGCTGTCACAGGTGGTATCAGAGCCTAGGTTTGAATTGTCCTGGGCGTGTTAGAAATGCTCGACTTGAGGATTATTTTGATTGTGTCCCTTAAGATTATTTATGATTATTTACTCTTTTGGTGTAGGATGGACGGGCATAGTGGACCTAGTGGTAGCTCTACCGGTGAGCGACCCCGTGGAGTGCTTCCGACGATTAAGTACCAGATTCGGCCAAGAGGGGCTGTCGTACGTTGGAGTCCGACTAACCGCCTCCGACGTTGCGAGTGCCGTCACACTTACGCATACCCTAACACCTTAGTGTTGGCCGTGGTAGAGGAACGGAGGGAGTTGGCAAAAGATAACGCTAGGCTTGAAGCCGAGGTGAACCAACTAAGGGCAGCTAACGAGAAACAAGTCGAGCGAATTAAGGAGTTAGAGTACGATGTGATCGAAGGTCAAGATAGGGTGGACGACCTTTGTGCCCAACTTGGAGAGACCCATGAGCGTATTACTAAGTGAGCTAGGAAAGTTAGGGTTCGAGCCGAGTCGATCTTGAACCTTTGCGACGATGTGCTCGAGGAGAAGAGCAACGAGGCTTTGTGTGCGGGGGGCGAGGCAGGAGGTGATTCCACCCCGTCGGATGGGTCCACTAGCCCGACGACGGACTAGGTCGCGACTCCTAGGGTCTTTTGGATGGTTTTGTCTTCTGTATATAGGATGGATAGGGGAAGAGCCTTAGCTAGCCGTTTTGTACGTTTGGATTAGCTATGTGTATATTATTTTTGATGAGGCCATTCCCTTATGGATTGTCTATGTTTGTACTTGACGGGCTGCTAATGTGTGACTGTTTGATGTTATTTTGTATTGTATATATGTTAGATTGTGAAAATCTTTTGGTTTCTTACGTACATACATTGTTATTTTATTGTTCTCATTATATCCACCTAGATTGAATAGATCCGATGGAAGGCACCCCTAGTGGTCGGGGACGTGGGCGCGGGAGTAGGCAACCCACGTCGGACAGGGGCGCCGGGGAAACTTCGCCTGGACCTAACCCTGAACCTAGGATTGACCCTAACGTCCAAATAGCTGGTGCTATGCAGCAAATGACTAATTTACTGGCTCAAATGGTGCAGCAACAGGGTCAAAACCCTAACCTGGAAACCCTGACAACCACTTCGAGAGCGAACAGAGCTCTCGAGAGATTCCAAAAGTTTGCTCCACCCAAATTCATTGGGGGGCCCGATCCAGATATAGCCGAGAAGTGGCTCGAGAAGATGGTGGATATTTTTGCTGCCTTGCACTACATCGAAAAAAGGCAGGTGACTTTTGCTGTCTTTCAGCTAGAAGGGGCGGCCCGTTCCTGTGGAACGTCATACGGCAGAAGTGGGAGCGGGAGCAAACGCCTCGGACCTGGGTAAACTTCATGTGAGAGTTCAACGCGAAATTTTTCCCTCCTTTAGTCTAGGAACGGAAGGAAGATGAGTTTATTCGACTCCGCCAAAGGGCCCAGTCTGTAGCGGAGTATGAGTGCCAGTTCACCCGCCTATCCAAATTTGTTCCTGAGCTGATCATGACTGAGCAGCGGCGAATAAGGCGTTTTATCCAGGGTCTGAACATAGAAATTCAGAAGGACCTCGCGGTGGCCCAGATTAACGCTTTTAGCGAGGCCGTCGAGAAGGCGCAATGAGTGGAAAACGCCAGGCTCCAAGTAAGGAACTTCCAGGCCAAGAAACGAGGCTTTTCTGGGAGCAGTTCAGGACAGGGAGAGAAGAGTGCTTCTCCCAAGTACGGACGGGGTCTGGAGGTGGACGGCAGACTGGAATAGGCAGAGGGACTCCGTCTAGGGGTGGTCAAACTGGACGAGGCCAAAGAGAAATTTTCAAGGAGGCTCAGTTTCAGCACCTCGCGATCCCTGTGGGCATTGTGGGAAGCCAAACCACACAGAAGATAATTACTGGAGGAAGGAAGGTAAATGTTTACGCTGCGGGAGTGCAGACCACCAATTAGCCACTTGCCCGGTTCAAAACAAGATGGAAGGGGAAGCCAACAACCGCCGAGGACCAATACTGGACCAGCGAAGGAGAAGGGACTAAACCTAAGGTACCAGATCGAGTGTACTCGTTAGAGTCTCAACAAGTCCCAGATTCCTCTGAGGTCGTAGAAGGTAAGATCCCTATCTTCCACCGTTTTGCAAAGGTTTTAGTAGATCCCGGTGCCACTCATTTCTTTGTTAACCCTAATTTCATGTGTGGCATTTATAAAACCTGCTAGTTTACCGTACGAGCTAGAAGCTAGTACATCTACGGGGAATCAACGATTGGTTACTAGTATGGTTTATAAGGATTGTGAAGTGTGGGTAGGAGAGAAGCGATTGTTAGGAGATTTGATAAGCTTGTCCATTAAGGGGTATGATGTGATCTTGGGTATGGACTGGTTAGCCAAATATAATGCCCAACTGGATTGTAAAAAGAAAGTGGTAGAATTCCGCATTCCTGGTGAGGCAACCTTAAGGTTGGACATAAGGGGTAGGTTAGCCTCATCTGCTTTGATTTCGGGCATTCGGGCTAGAAAACTGCTAAGTAGAGGGGCGCAAGGATTTTTAGCCTTTCTAATCAATACCCCACGGATAAATTGAAGGTAGAGGACGTGCACATAGTACGGGAATTTCCGGATGTATTCCCTGATGAGTTAATAGCCCTACCTCCGAAAAGAGAGATAGAATTCAAGATCGACCTGTTACCGGGAATCTCACCTATCTCAAAAACCCCATATCGAATGGCCCCTGCGGAGCTGAAGGAGCTAAAATTGCAATTACAAGACCTTTTGGAGCGGGGGTTTATTCAAGAGAGTAGGTCTCCTTGGGGAGCCCCTGTGTTGTTTGTAAAGAAAAAGGACGGAAGTTTGAGGATGTGTATCGACTATTAAACCCTGAACAATATCACGGTTAAAATAAGTATCCACTGCCCCACATTGATGAGTTGTTCGATCAATTGCAAGGAGCAGTGGTCCTCTCGAAACTAGACCTCCACCAAGGGTATTACCAGTTGCTAATCAGGAAGGAGGATATTCTGAAAACCGCTTTCAACTCGAGATATGGGCATTACGAGTTCGTGGTTATGCCCTTTGGATTAACCAATGCTCCTGCCGCCTTCAGGGATTTAATGCATAGGGTTTTTAAACCCTACTTAGATCGATTTGTTGTGGTCTTCATTGACGACATTCTGGTCTACTCCAAGACACGTGAAGAGCATGAGTAGCACCTAAGAATTGTTTTGCAAACCCTAAGACAGCATCAGTTATATGCCAAGTTCAGTAAGTGCGAGTTTTGGCTGGAGAAAATCTCTTTCCTTGGGCACGTAATTTCCCAAGGAGGCATTTTGGTTGACCCGGCGAAAGTAGAGGTCATGACCAATTGAAGAGGTCAGAAAACCCCACAGAGATCCGCAGTTTTCTAGAGCTGGCTGGGTATTACCAACGTTTCATTAAAGACTTCTCCAAATTAACAGGTCCTTTAACTGACCTGACGAAGAAACATGATCGGTTCGTATGGAATGCCCGATGTGAGACAAGTTGATAGCATCATGGTACGTGGGCAGGCCAACCATGGCTCGAGTAATCGAGGAGCTGAGGATCACGTGGACGCCCCAAGTGGACCCATTACTAGGGCTCGCGCAAAGAAACTTCGTGAGCAACTCAATGTACTTATTCAGGTCATACACAAGTCCTTTGAAGGATTCATACACTCAAGTGAAGATGGTCGCAGTCCGATAATGAGCATTGAAGCTACACTTGAGGATTAGGGTTTTTGCCAAACCTTAATTTCCGTTTTAGCATCATAGTTAGTTATTTCCACATTAGTTGATTAGATTGAATAATTGGCTAAGTGCATATTGCACGTAGAATCGCCAAGGGTAGGATTGCTAATTTACTCATTATTATTTGCTAGACTGGGCTACCTAGGAAGGAAAGCCCACGTGAGGCCCAACCCGTCGAGGGTTAAGCCTCCCTTATTAGGGCCCATATCCACTGCACCCTTAGTCCATTTTCTTACTAGATTAGATTTTTGACTTGTAGCCTATATAAGGCACCATATTACATCATTAAAGGGTAGACACTTTTATCATAAAATATTTGAGAGAATTTTCTCCATAGCTTTCGAGCAACCCTTGAACAACTTAGAGTTTTACTCTAGTGTTCTTGTTTGGCTTATCAATTCAAGAACCACACTTGAATTGTGGTGCCTTCTACACTTGCCTGAGATTCGCTAATTCGTTTGATTACGGGTTGAGATAATATCAACAAGTTCGTAGTCACGGGGATTAGAGGGGTCGTAGGGTTTCTGCTGCTACCGTTTCTTGCGTTCGAAGTCAAATCCAACAAGTGATCTTGGGTCGCGAATCTTCTCACCAACAAGATTTGTATCAGCTGGCATCAGAGCTAGCTTGTTGGTAACATCGTTTATCCCTCTTTTGTGTCTTAATTCGTGCCTTAATTCGTATCTGTCTCGGTAGCGCAAAAAAAAAAAAAATTTTTTGTGCACGTTACATTCTGGCCGCGAGTTTCCTTTGTTTTCAAGTCTGGTCGTCATTGTTTGTTTATGTTTTGTTGTCACCTTCAATTTTTGGAATTCCTAGGAGTCACTTGTGTGGTGTCTAGGTCATTTGTGTGTTCCATCATTGTTAACAAAAAAAAAAAAAAAAAAACCGCTGGTGTCTTAGTTGTCGCATCCTTATTGCTGTTTTCTATTGACTCGTGGGTAATCTGTCCGTGTCTTGTTTGTTGTTAATTTCTATTGAGTCGTGTGCGAAATCTGCTCGTGTCTTGCTGTCTTTGTTTCCACCATTTGTGTCCAGCAAATTGAGGTGTTCGGTCAGTGTTGATCATTGTGCCAAAAACGCGCAACAAAGCATTGAGTCGTTCAGATTTCGGTCTTGCCGCACTTAACACTATCTCTTGCATGGCCCAATCTGACCGAATTGTCTCTTAATTGTTGTGCCTGTCTCTTGTTCAACATCTTGTTGTTGTTGTCAGTAAGTCCCAACCTGAGTTAAAAAAAAAACAGAACAGAAGCAATACCAGAAGGGAAAAAAAAAATTACAGCCGCAGGGACTTCCTCTTGTTTCTTCATAGCGCGTCTTGTGGTATTGTGCGCAAATCTGTCCAGAAATTTCGCTCACTAGTTGGCTCTAGTTTCTGTCCAGCTTCTGGTTTAATGCGTGTGGCATCTTGTGTTGTTTGAGTCGTGTCCAAACAACCCAAACAAAAAAAAAAAAAGAAAGGGGGGTCAGTAGCTAATCTTTCTCCTTGTTTGTTCCGCTGCTGTCCGCAATTTCCAGGCTGTGTGCTTCGTGTCTTGCGTTCGTTTCAGATTTGTGTCACCACGTTTTGTGCCTGGCTATTGTTTATTGTTGTCCGACTCTTTGTCTTGCTGATTATCATGTTTTGCCTAGAAAATAGAA